TATATATATATATATATATATATATATATATATATATATGTATACAGGATCCGATCCCTGTAGGCTCATTTATAATGCAGTATGTAGGGGAAGTAATTCCTCGTGCAGTAATGGATGGTAGATCTAAACAAGAGACAAGAAGGGGACATAATAATTATTGTATGGAGGTTGTTGGGGAAGAAAGAGATCTTGAATATGATTGGGCTGCCCCTTGTATTGACTCACTTGTCAGATACAATTCACCCTAAACCCTAAACCCTAAACCCTAATAAACCCTAATAAACCCTAATAAACCCTAATAAACCCTAATAAACCCTAATAAATCCTAATTAACCCTAATAAACCCTAATAAACCCTAATCAACCTTAATAAACCCTAATAAACCCTAATAGGACACCATAATTATGATACAGAGTTATGCTTGCCTCCACACAATAACGCATGGATGCATGTAAGAACGCATGCACCCATGGATGCATGCACGCATGCATGCATGCATATTATATTTTGGGGCTTTTTTTTGTGCTTATGTGTACAGTTTATTGGTAACGCGAGTCGTTTTTTGAATCATTCTTGTGATCCAAATGTTCGCGTAGCAACAATATGGCGAGGTCCTTCCTTACCACAAGTTGGTGTATTTGCTAAAAAAGATATACCTGCAGGTATATTTATTTATTTATTTATTTTATTTATATAAATAAATAATAATTAATTATAATATATAATAATTAATTATTTATTATATATATACATTTTAATTCTCTCGCTAGTGATGGGCTTGGGTCCTTGTCTTGTCCTTTGTGTCGGCGATTCTGTGGCTGCATGCATCCATGCATGCATGCACTTTTGCATGCAAGGAAGGTTGCATGCAGCCCCAATTGCCTGTGGTGTATGTGTGTGTGTCTGTGTATATATATTAGGGTCTCCTTTAACATATGCATACGGTCCTGGTTATGAGGAGATGTTGTGCCTCTGTGGGGCCCCCAATTGTGAGGGATTTATTGGAGGGGGATCGGGATCGGGATCGGGATCGGGATCGGGATCGGGATCGGGATCGGGCGATCCCAGTAGCGATAAAAGTAACCCCACATGTGTTGTCAGTCTTGGGCTGCGTGCTGCTGCTGCTCTCAGCAAAAAAGCAGGCCAATCCGTAAACTAACCCATGCCCCTTCCCTGCTGCTGCAACAGCAGCATCAGCAGCAGCAGCTGCAGCTGCTGCAGCAAGTGCTGCAGCAGCTCTTTCCGGGGCTGGAGAGTTTGCTTTGTTTTTCTATGGTCTCACGCTTGTGACTCCTGGGCTCTCCAGCTTGTTTATTTATACCTGCAGCTAGCTAGCTAGCTAGCTAGCCATCTAGCTAGCTAGCTAGCTTGCCAACTATCTAGGTAGCTAGCTAAGTGGGTAACTACGTAGCTAGGTAGCTGTCGTGTGAAGCACAGACAGCAGCAGCAGCAACAACAACAGCAGCAGCCAAGTAACTATGTCTCTAAGGAGACAAATATGCCTAATAAGGAGCACAGCTAGCTATAGCTAGCCGTAGCTAGCTATAGCTAGCTGTAGCTAGCTATAGCTAGCTAGCTATAGCCATCAGCCTTTATGGCGATAGGTTGGTAATATAAAGGTTAGCGCAGGCAGTTATTGCAGCAGCATAATGAGCAATTGCTGCTGGTATCTGCTGCTGCTGCTGCTGCTGCTGTTTGCTGCTGCTGTTGCTGCATGCAGGCTATCTATATATATATATCTTAGCCGTTGCCTCCTCCCCATGTATCAGTAAGGGTAAGGGGCCTCGAAGGGGACGACATTAGTACCTTATTGTTGGGGGGCCCCCAACTATGATTAAGACCTGGTTCCCATGTTACATGGGGCCCCTCCTTAATTATATATTTATACTCAAAACGATTCACACCTAATCAGGAGACACACGCACACACACACATGCATGCATGCATGCGTTGCATGCAGTGCATGCGGTGCAGAACGATCTGGTATACAGCACCACATGCAGCAGCAGTAACACCACCAGCAACGACAGCAACACCACCAGCAACAACAACAACAGCAGCAGCAACACCAGCAGCAGCAACACCAGCAGCAGCAACACCAGCAGCAGCAACAGCAGCAGCAGCAGCAGCAGCAGCAGCAGCAGCAGCAGCAGCAGCAGCAGCAGCAGCAGCATACCGTGTGGTATAGTGAGCTGTAATGTCCAAATATTTCCTTCTGTCCATTTCATAGGAAGAGATCTATGTACACCCCAATTACCTAATGTTGTTATACTACCTACTATATATACATCTTCTCCGTACTATAC